AAAAAAAAAACAATTTAGATTGGTAAAAAGTTAATAACTGTACTTATGCATCGAAATTAAATAGATGGCGCTTCGAAGCATTGAAAACGCGTTGTGTACTGCTCGACAGAGAGAATATTTTAAATGAGAATGACATTAAATTCAAGGCTATCCATGCCATGGAGTTCAACATCAGTCAGAAAGAACAGGAAATCGCACGCCCACGTATTGTACACGCCTCACCCGGAACACCGCAAGTCATGACACCCATAGCCGCTACAACAACAACAGCACCCACAGACAGAAAACCTAGTTTTGTTGGTACTCCAACTGAAGGCAATGCAACACTAATCAACACACCACCGGGTATTATTTCGAATGCGGTAAAACAGGAGATTGATGTTAAAAACCCAGTTGAAATGACCCCGTTATTTGAGAAAATAAAGCTTGAATGTAGAGAAAACAATGAAATGTCTCAAGAGCAGAATGATTCAAACATATCTTTGGCAGCTGGAGGTGTTACCAAAAAGTCACCTTGGCAAGAGCTTGCCATTGAAAGCAATTCCTTGGCAAATGAATTAAGAATGCTACCACCGACCCATGACAAGAAGATACCGCCTAGCCTGGATGTGCAACCCGGCCGTTCGATTCTGTCAAAGAAACGCGACGATTTAGCTGCCAAAGAGAATAGCGAAAAGATTGTACAATTCAGTGCTCAGGGTCCGACAGTTCACGACATCAGTGCCAATGTCAGCATAGATCAGGACCCTTCGTCGAATGATAATGTTAATAAGGAAGTTAAGAATAAGGTCTACATAAAGCAGGTGCGCACAAAATCTAATATTATAGTGCGCCGTGTTATAGTGTCATCTAAGCGTGAACCAACATAATTTTTTTTTAACGTTTTAGTACAATTAAACTTCTTTTTTTAATTTATTGCACACTTATATTTAACGTGTAATCAACTCCAAAAAAATGTATTATTTGCATAAGTCAATTCATAGGCCTTACCTTCAATTAATTAATGGCGATTTCGTTTCTACAAAAAATGTTGCCTTCTCAACGCCCTCTTCTTAGTAGTTGTGCGTAAAGGGCAAAGAGAAGGTTGCATTTTTTGGTAGAAAGGAAATCGGCATAAACTATTTTTTTCTTCATGATTATATAGTTTTGTATTAATTACGTTTCCCGTTCTGATTTTTAAGTTAGCTCTATCTAGGTGTGCGATATGAAGTAAAAGCATGATGAACAAGTTAATAAAATCAGATTCAAATGGTTTGTTTAATTTATTAGTACCTACAATAATAAGTTCCATGAATATTTTAATTCATCAAATTTTGCTCGTATTATTCTTAATGCCAATGGATATCACAAAATGTTCTTAAACGCTAATTATGTACG